TATGTATATATATTTTTTTCTCCTTTTTTGTGGTACATGTAGAAATACATCACTTACGAGAAACCTAAATCAGTATGTCATCGTGGTTGGGCGCATATACCTCACGTTCATTACTGCTGTTCATTGAGTAGACACCACAAATTCGAGCCAAATGTATTGAGCCGACGAATACATTATGTTGTGTAACGTGACATAGACTATTTTCACGAATACTCTCTATAATTAATGTTGTTAACTAGAGCGGAATGATTAGCTTACGGCAATGGCTCACCACTCCATGGAAAGACATACATAATTGCATAAACTGTTTCGTAGATACATATTGGGGTAGTGCTATGAAGTTTATTCGTGCACAGTGAAAAATAACACAGCGTTCCTATCTACTTGCAAAGAAAATCGAGCGCATGACGACCGTATGATGATTGAAGCACACATGCATACGAATACGCACTGGCAGTGCAGAAGTTGCATTCTGCAACAAAAATAAACAACAATGAGTCGAGCGCCAATTTTCAAATGTTAACGAAATGCGAGATAATCACTTTCTTCTGCGAGTTCATTGGTGAACTCATCCATTGTCAAAGCTGAGGCTATTTCAAACAACAAAGTGTCCAAACCGTCCACAAGCCACTATTGCCGTGTGCTTCTGCACCAAAAATAATAAAGCCACTGATTTTGCTGTAATGAAACGAAAGTAAAATTTGTAAGTTATACGCGCACCGCGTGTAACGGTGCCAAGGTGCAGCCCGTACAACGGCTGTTATCTGTTTTTTGTTCACAGGGCAATGAAATGGGCGTAAAGTTATCTGCGCTTATAAATGTACCTACAACAAAAAAAAAAAGATAACAATGTAGTCCCCTATCAGATAGAATGCGATATCCACAGCCACTTAGTAATGGCCACCAACGCTATAGCTCAGCGTGTTTACATTGTGTGGCCGAAGACTATAATAACTCCGCTAAACGTAGCAATTCGCTCGCTAGGCAGCGGCGAATACAGAAACGGCATGCAACGATACGCCATCTCGATTTTTCGAATGCCTATCATTCACATAAAACTGGCTATATCTGCATTTTCACAAAATTTATTGAGTGTTAAAAGGCAACTTCACTTTAACTTTGAGAGATAGAATAGGTTTAGATAGAAGCGACAGTGTCATTCTATAAGTTGAAAGTTACTCTCTCCTCTGTGGCATCTAGGCTTCTGTTCCGACGATAGTTGTTGCCTGAGACATCTGTCTAAGACGTATGTTCCAGCTTGCACTTCTTGCATTTGCCTTATAAAATCTATAGATCGTCGCATCAACTAAAGACGTCGTATCACGCCTAATTCTGGGTATTATTGTTGTTCGCACTGCAGTGAATATAGCCTCTGACCTAGCATCGATAAAAAGATACTATCAAGCAAAGTCCGGCCTTTCAGCGCACTTCTCCAGCCACCCCCAAACGCTAACAGAAAAAAAATGCCATTCGGTATTGCGGAGGCCAAACAAAGCAAAAAAAAAAAGTCGAGGTGAGTCGAAATGAATTAGCCCAGCCAACGATTCAAAACTAAGGCCGACACGTCCTATGGGTGGGAGACCGCAAGACCAGCTAGTTTCAATGTACTAGACATCCCCATTCACCACAAAGCCAAATATCACATTTACGCTCACGATTAAAGCAACAATCGGAGAAGTACAAGAGGGCAGACAGAAAATTTTCAAAATGATCAGCTGGAACGTAAACAAGAGAAGACCTAGTGCCACCGACGGACATCTCAAAAACTCTGCCTTTTTTCGATTGGAAAGGAGACGTGCGAATATTTTATTGATTCAAATACGGAACTAATATAAATGTAGAGTGGGTTTCGAATTAAGAGCTGGAAAAATTCAAGCGGTGCCAGCTAAAACCAGCAGTAAACAAACGATCGCTCGTTAATCATTCATGTTGCGTTGTCATACGAGGCACGTAATAATAAAGAATGATGAGGTATTTTCATTAATAAGGGGTAAAAAGCAGACAAACATTAGAATCGGGGAATACATGTTTGTTCTCTTCAGTGTCTCTATTTTCCCATTAAAACTACTATGTCTTAGATTGTTGTTACATCCTAATTGTTGAGGATCGAATTGTTTGAAAATTAAATATCCACTCGGAAAATGTTAAAGAGAAGGTTTTTTTGTTTGAGATGGGACGTAAGCGTCGGAAGGGTTCAATGCGACCTATAATTAGAACGACACTCAGGATGTAGATTTTGGATAATTACGATGTTCTCTCGGAAGTCATAATAAAACAAACTGAATAAAAAAAATAACAGCACACGCTCTAACTATCGGGGGACACAAATAAATGTATAGATAAAACAAATGATGTTTTTGTTGCTTATTACTGCTTTCTGGATAAAGTTCAGACTAATAAAGTTTTGTACAATCGTAGTAATATTATTCGTATTTTTTTCTGACGTTGTCTTGGGATGTTCGGCCAAAGGCCACACAACACTTCGAGGAACAAACTTTGGGCAAATATAATAAATGAAAAGCATATGTTGTGTTAACAAATTCAGATTAACTATATATCTTGTTATCGCTTGCTGTTGCACCGCAGCCTATTCGACCTTTTCGAACTGGGGGAAATGTCCTACTCTATTTTTGCTTGTTCCAGTTAACAATGAAGTGCGATTTTTTTTCTCATTTTTGAGCAGCACTAGGCACAGCACTCTAGATCGATTCGATCATTCATTTTTGGGGGCCATAACTTGTTTGTCGTCAGGGGTCTCGACTGGATAATATGTTCTACTGCATGTAAGTTATCGTGAAGCTCAACTTAGATAATCGTGCTAACACTATCGTGGTATGCTTCTTGACGTTGGTTAAGAAATGCGTACATGGTGATACCTTAAAGATGCGCAGTAGGGCAAATTGGATAAATGGAAAAAAATATAGGAATGTCAAGTAGTTGCTGCTCAAAATGCAGGTACTTCAAAATTCTATTTAGTGACAGTAAAAATAAGGGACCAAATGTGATCCGTCGTAGCTCTGATTTTTCATCCAGTCGACACTGCATATGACGGGTCCGAGTTCGACCTCAGTAGTTGTGCGACCAGTATTTTAGAACACGAAGTCAGTGAAGGCGATTGCCGAGGATAGCGGGCATTGGTTGGTATAAAGCGTACGATTTGCAGATGCTTTCGCAACAAAAAAAATCATGTACACAACTCAAAGGAGCGCTGTATTTTGAAAACATCAGCAGTGATACAACGTCATTTAGAGACTGAAGTATGAAGACAAAAACGAAACTTAAGATTCTCCAGGGGAAAGCCCTGCAATAGTTAGAATATGTCCTATTTCCAATAGATAGTTGCATCATTTGGAAACAATGGAGGGACCGTTCTAAATGACTTCAAGCTCAACATGGTGATGAACCGAAAACATGAATACGTTTGAAATTCGTATCGAAGCTATTTTTTGGAATACTTTCGGCCTTTTTTTAAAAAAACACCATTTAATTGGCAGGTTAACGATTGTTACTGAGACACACGCCTTCCCTCAGTTAGCGAAGCAAAAAGTGAAAGTGTACCAACAATGAAATTGTGCCATAGCTGTTTATCGTCAGATAGACTGCTGACAGGAGGGGGGCGAGGGACGGACTCCCTTATGATGGTGAGCGATCCCACCCGCAGTAGTCTTTCTGACTAGGGCGTGATATGCTGGCATTTCTACATTCTTGCTGTCCTGGAGCGCCACAAGCGCTATTTCTGCACTTTTCATTACGATGTATGCAGCCTTTGCTGGAAACGGGTGTCACCCCGACGAATGGAGCCGTAGGATACAAGCCCAGACAATGTGCCCTGTCTGGGCTTCGCTTTACAACGTTTAAAACCTGAAAAGAAACGAAGACGACGAAAGCGAATCAAACAAACGCCTTCTGCCGACCGCGTTTTTCTACGAGTGGCGGCAAACGACTCTACCGGCCTGCTCCTGATCAACCGCCCCCTTAAATGTATCCCGTTCCAGCTGTGCTGCCCCAAGCTGTCTTCGTTGTGTAGTCTTCGTCATTCCAACGTATTCCGTTCGATCCTTAGCGTTCGAACGGACGACTCTCAATTGGAGCCAGCCAAGGACGGGGACTGATCGGACCGACAGTTTGTCGAACAGATGAACGTTGGCTTGACGGCGTTAACGCTGCTATTGGGAGTGGTCGATGTAGTCGGCATTCGCCGTCACAAAGATGGGGCAAAGAAAAGCCAAAGCAACAACGCCTTTCGATGTTATTACTAGCACAACCATAACAAATAAGTAGACTGCAGATATGTCTGTCACAAGCCTTCGTGTTATTTCTTTCCCGCTGCTTTTGTTGTTTTCATTATTAGTGGTCGTGCCAGGGGCTTTGGGAGCGCATGTTGTGTCTTCGGTCGTAGTGGCTGTCACTGCTGTTTATTGTAGTATTGTGATAATCTAGTGGCAGCCGAAGATGTTGTTGTCATCCTAAGCGATCGGACGAAGTCTGCGCTTAAAGTCTGAAGTCAGATGGCTTTTACAGTAGCAGATACTGCTAATCGAAAATGATGCACATACTGCCATCTGCTGCTGCTGCTGTTGTTGCTGTTCGTGTTCATGTGTTACATGCGATGACGCCAGATACGATACGTCTAGCGATTGCAGATGGTAGTTGGCCAAAAGTAACAGTAGCGCTACC